ACAACACAAGAAACAACAGGTGTTGATGAGGATGTGAAGAAATGGGAACCTCTCGCGCTGTTGCTGTCGGTGGAAAAGCAAACTGGTGCAGCCACTCTGGAGAACAGTGTGGAGGTTCCTCAAAAATTCAAGACAGAATTACCATATGATCCAGTAATTCCACCACTGGCTATTTACCCAAAGAATATGAAAACACTAATTTGAAAAGAGACAGGCACTCCTATGTTTACTGCAGCATTGTTTACAATAGCCAAGATATGGAAGCAGCCCAAGTGTCCACCAACAGAGAATGGATTAGGAAGAATGACTATTACTCAGTCATAAAAAAGAATGACATCCTGCCATTTGCAACAACATGGATGAATCTGGAAGGTATAATGCTAGGTGACATAAGTCAGTCAGAGAAAGACAAATACCATATGGTTTAACCCTGAGGTGGAATTTAAGAAAAAAAAAAAAACCAAATAAACAAAGAGAGACAAACAAACAAAAAAAAACCAGACTCTTTTTTTTAATGTTTATTTATTTTTGAGAGATTCAGAGACACAGCACCAGCTGGGAAGGGCAGAAAGAGAGAAGGAGACGCAGAATCCGAAGCAGGCTCCAGGCTCTGAGCTGTCAGCACAGAGCCCGACACAGGGCTTGAACCCAGAAACCGTGAGATCATGACCTGAGCTGAAGTTGGACACTCACACGACTGAGCCACTGAGGTGCCCCATAACACACTCTTAAATAGAGAGACGTGATGGTTGCCAGAGGAGAGGTGGATGGGCCGCCCGCGCCGGCGGGAGATGGTGAAAGAGGTGAAGGGGATTAAGAGTACACTTAATGTGATGGCAGTGAGAAGTGTATACAGTTGTTGAACCACTATATTGTGTGCTTGAAATTAATACAACACTGTAACGGGAATCGAATATACACATATTTATACATCTATATAGAGATACATAGATACATACTCGAATTTTAAAAATAAATAAAATTTTAAAAGAATTAAGAAAGAATGATCATGTTTAAAAACTATTAGTATACTGAGCATTTCCCGTGTATTGAGCTGTTTTATGTGTGTTAACTTGTTTCATTTCATTTCAACCCATTTCATCGTTTAGTATGTAATTCTTCATCATCAGAGCTATATTTCTAATGTAATTAGTCTAATCATTTAATGTACCTTGATAGACATGAATCTATTAATATTTAATTACTTATCATGCATTAATAAAAGGTAGTATTTTATTGCTCATAATATGTAGTCATTTAATTTACAAAAGTGAAGCCTCGGGGTTGTGTTTTTGTTTTTTGTTTTAATTTTGTTAAAGGCAATAGTTAATGACACTAAGCGCTAACATTTACTGAGCCCTGAGCATGTGCCAGGGATGGTTCTAAGCATTTGACACGCACTATCTCATGATTAAATTAAGGCTTACAGCAACCCAGGAAACCAGTACCATAATTATCCCCCATTTCACACTTGGGGAGATTGAGAGACTTGTTCTAATTCACAGAGATGCTACGTGATGGTTGGAGCTGGATTCAAACCCAGATTGACAGGACTTTAGAGCCAGCAAGGAGTAGAGTTGGAAAACACAGATGTGTGTGTGGTGCAGCCATGAGGGTACCTGACTAAGGTTTAGTCCAATTGGGTGGGTGGGGCGGCCACAGTACCCAGCCCAGAGGAATGAAAACAAATCAGAAGAGGTAAAATCAGGTCCCGTATTTTTCTTTAATTTTTTAAGTGTATTTATTTATTATTGAGAGAAAGAGAACACAACTGGGGAGAGGCAGAGAGAGAGGGAGACACAGAATCCGAAGCAGGCTCCAGGCTCTGAGCTCTCAGCACAGAGCCCTACGCGGGGCTCGAACCCATAGACCGTGAGAGCATGACCTGAGCTGAAGTCAGACACCTAACCAACTGTGCCACCTGGACGCCCCAGATCCCATATTTAAAAAAAAAAAAAAAAAAAAAAAAAATTCTGGAAGCTTCCCCAGTTCAGAATTGCAAGTTACAGACCCATGTGCTTCAGTGTCAGCACCTCCAGAAGGTAGTTTATTTAAATTCTGTTGTACTGGGCTCCTTATTCTTGTCATGTGCAGATTTAAAACCAGCTTCAAAACCACTTCAATCTTTACAATTCTGAGGAACTTCCCAGGGCTTACAGTGAGCCACGTCAATGGTCCTTTCTCCTGAAAGTGCGCTTAAGTTGGTTGAGTCTCTGCAAACCCCACAGGTTCCTAAGGCCTTTTGGATAAAAAGTGGCTACAGATTAAAGCCTAGTTTGTGAACAGTGTCTTTCACAAAAGGCCCTCAAATACTCTGCAGTAATGCTGAGAACGCACAGTTAACGCATTTAGAATGGATCTTTCATTTCAAGGTAGCATTTTTGCCTTCTTTCCACTCTGCTGGAATTTGTTTCATTATTTATCCTTTGGCTCTGCTCCTCCAAAAAAACTTGTTTTTTTGAAATCTAATCCTATGCCATCCTTCACCGCCCTCCACTCTTCTCCCCCTCCCCTGCCTCCCCCCACTCCACTGCCAATTAAAAACAAAAAAAGAACTATTAGCCTTAAAAAGATTTCCAGTTCATAACATTTCCCATCCTTTCTGATGTCAAGGCTAAAAAGAACTGGGTAATGATAAGAGCTAACAGTGAACAACGAGCATAATTACCCAAGGGGTCAAAGGGATTTTCCATCTCCGTGAGTTTCCAGCTTCCCTGTGTCTTCTGGGGGTTCGGTTTGCCCTACTTTGGTCACCGGCGACGAGTGCGCAGAGGACCGGGTTCGAACCTGCAATAAACGACCCTTGCCGCTTGGCTTTGGCTCTGGACTCTGGTGGTTTGTTTTCGGGGGGGGTCTCTCGAATCGGGGCATATCAGGCTAGGGTGACACCAGGGGGTACCTAGGGCACAAAGTTCAAGGAGACACATATTTTCAGGGTTGTGCAAGTGCCCTAGGCTCTAAGCCCAGCCTTGCCTAATGGTCCCTACCTGCATGGCAAGCACCTGATGAGGTTGTGACAGTGACAGTGATGGGGTGACAGTGAGGTTCACAGGGTCCAGAGCTGTTGGCCAAGAAAGTATTCTTGAAGACGTCTTTTGTGCAAAAAGGTGATTTTGTTAAAGCATGGGGACAGGACCCCGTGGGCAGGAAGTTCTGCCCCGACCATGAGGAGAGACTGGTTGTATACTCTGGAGCTAGGGGGCAGTAAAGTCCAGGGAAGTTTCCAGTGAGATTTTCATATGCTAAAGAAGCCTCCCAGGATACTGGAGGCTTAGCTCTTGTCAAGCTAGGGTTGTTGCCCCTCCAGCAAAACATGAACATTAAGACAGCAGGGAGTTCCCTGAGAAAAGTTTTACTCTGTAGGCCTCAAGTATCTGTCAATGGGCTGCAGGCTGTAAGGAAATTGAGTTCTAGCTGCCGTTTCCTTCTGCCTTTGTTTCCCACATCACTCCCACCCTACTTCTCTGTTCAATAGCCTCCTCAATAGCCAGAGTGAACATTTAAAGTTTATTTATTTATTCTGAGAAAATGAAAGAGAATCCCCAGCAGGCTCAGCACCATCAGCATAGAGCCCAATGTCGGGCTTGATCTCACCAACCAGGAGATCATGACCTGAGCCGAGATTAGGATTTGGATGCTTAACTGCCTGAGCCATCCAGGCGCTCTAGCCAGATCGATTGTTTTAGAGGATAAATCTGATCACATCACTCCCCTGATGAAACCCTCTGATGGCTCCCCAGTGCCTGCGGGTTAGAAGATAAACACCCATGCAGCGTTTTACAGAGCCTTTCAGATGAGACTCCTGCCCAGCACACCCCTCGGGTCTCACGTCCCCCCTACCGCCCACAGTTCTGACAGCTCCCAGCTCCCGGAACCTGATGCATTGTCCAGTCTGGGCTTCACAGCTGCTGCCTCCTGTCATCTGAAACAACTTCTCTGCCTATTTTTTCCAAGCTACCCCCAACTCATTTTCCAGGTGTCACTAGGACACATATCGGAGCAGCAGATTAGGACAGGGGTTGAAATAAAGTCACAGCCTGGCTTTGCCTCCAGCTCTGCCACTTAACTGCAATGACCTTGGGCAAGCTACTTAACGTTCTGGGTTTGAATTCTCTTGCCCATACACTGGTGGCGAAAGGTTCGCTCCATGAATTGACAAGGGATGAGAGGCTTTTAAAAGACGACCCATGTAACATTCTAAGATCTGTACCTGGTACGTGGCTAGCACTTGATGTGTCAGACATCCCTATGCCTCCTTCAACAGAGTGAGCCCCAGATCTGGCTGAGAAGCCCCTCCTTAAGTACTTCTGGAACACCTGTTCTTAATTCCGTCTTCTGTTACCATTATCATGGTAACAGAGAGATTGGGTCTGTCTTGTTCACTGCTGTCCAGCTATATAGTGCCTAACACACAGTAGGTGCAAATAAATACGTGTGGAACACATGAGCCAATCGTACAAACAACAGGGCCACTGCGACAATACCCATCACAGCTCCAGGACACAAGCAACAGAAGATTTAGAAGAAGCAGCAACGTTCTGCTAACAGAATTCACTGCTAAATTTGAAAGCCTCAATTGTACCAAATATCAATTCAACCAAATGTGAATGGATTGTGTGCCGGCCATTGTGCTCTGCAATAGGAAAACACAAAGATGAAGAAACCTTTGCCCTAAGAGGTGCTTCAAACTCCAGGTCACCGTCTCTCTGCGCTGAAAGAGTGGCTCTGCTGGTCTGGGTCGCAGTTTCAAGAATACGGTATCTTGAAGCAGACGTATCTGGGTTCACATCCCATAGCTTCCTGGCTTGTGAATTGTGGGACCAGAAGCAAGTCATGTCCCGTTTCCCTGAGCTTCAAGGCTTTTCATCGGGAGGAGGCAGAAAAATAGTACCTGGGACAGAGGGTTGCTTGTATGGAGGCAATGAGAAAACCCACAACGTTCACCTAAGCAGAAGGCATGGCAGATAGAAAACAGGGGTACGTTTTTATTGTTAGTATTACTGCCGTCCTCAGCCCCTCCCTGGACTCGCTCCACATACCCTAGCTTCCGCCCTAATCTCTGCTACCAGCTTGCTTTCTTTTTCTTACTGCTTCAACTTAAAGACAGAAAAATACATATCTGAGCCTCAGAACTACTTGGTACCATGAAGCAAAGCTGAGCTTTTGTACCCAGAAGAGCATCAGGACACTTTTAATATCATGCTAACTGCCAACACGGTGCCACAAGGCAGGCCAGACCTGGGGTTTTGTGATTTTCCTTTTGCTGTTTTTGGAAGGATTCTAAGAATCCATGTCTTAGTATGGCCGGTGGCTCGTGGCCCTGTGATAATCCCATGGGGATGACTTTGTCTTCTGTGGCAGATTTTGAAGAAGTTCAAAAGTTTGTTGTCTCTCTGTCTCTGAGAAGGTTCTTCTTTCTTGGTATACAGTATTGCTTATGGAAGGCACAAAAAAAGGGCACAAAAGGAATAATAAATAGGTCTTGCCTCTCATGCTGTCTCTTATTGATTGTTGGTGGGTGTCTGAAGTATCATCTTAAAAAGCACTCTGATGCAGCTTTAGGTTTCTGTGGGAAAGAGAACATTGATTGATTAGTCATGTCTGCCCTGGGTGGGGAATGGAGGTGGGGGGCAGGTACGGTGCCAGAACTGAACATCTCTAGCTGAAAAGCACTTTTTCCAGATAGACGATTCCATCTCCTCTCCATATTCCCCAGGCTTCTTACTTCTCTCCATTTTACCTTACTGTCTGATTCCACTGCAGTATGGCAGTTCAAAAATCAAGTTATTATTAGTTCAAATTGATTTCTTTTGATTTGAAGAAAAGAAAGCTTCAAGGATGATTCACAGAAGAAGAAAACCCTCTTGCCAGCGAGATCGATGGACCACCTCCCACTCAGGGCCTCCGATTTCAAAATCAAGATGCTTATGCGACCAACTTCATAATGAGAAGGAAAATAAAAGTAATCATCGTAGCTCAATTTGGTGAACAGGTTCTACTTGCCAGGCATCGTGCCTGCTCGATCATCCTTTAACCTTTAAAAAAGATACATTCCGGGGCGCCTGGGTGGCGCAGTCGGTTAAGCGTCCGACTTCAGCCAGGTCACGATCTCGCGGTCCGTGAGTTCGAGCCCCGCGTCAGGCTCTGGGCTGATGGCTCAGAGCCTGGAGCCTGTTTCCGATTCTGTGTCTCCCTCTCTCTCTGCCTCTCCCCCGTTCATGCTCTGTCTCTCTCTGTCCCAAAAATAAAAATAAACGTTGAAAAAAAATATATAAAAAAAAAAAATAAAAAAGATACATTCCAATGCTAAAACCTTGACAAATGTTGAATTTGGGTGATGGGTGGATGGGAACTGTATTATATTACCCTTGTGTACGTTTGAAATGTTTCACAATAGGAAGTTTTAAACACATGATGCCAGATATTCTGATTTCATTGGTCTGTGAGAATCTGGGCATCAAGTAGCCTTAAAAACGTCCCACAGGTTATTGTTTTGTTTTGTTTTGTTTTGTTTACTGTGCAATCAGGAGGAAAATCACCTGGCAAAGTGCTCTTTAGGCTAGATTTTCTTCACAACCAGCCTCAGACAAGTCTCCACCAACCATCCCCATCAGATCAACCTGAGCTCTGAGCTCTGAGCTTGGGTCCCTAACCTCCTGTGCTAGATTCAGTCTAATTTTGGGGTGCCTAGGTGGCTCAGTCGGTTGGACATCTGACTTCGGCTCAGGTCATGATCTCATGGTTTGTGGGTTTGAGCCCTACGTCGGGCTCTGTGCTGACAGCTCGGAGTCTGGAGCCTGCTTTGGATTCTGTGTCTCCTTCTCTCTCTGCCCCTCCCCAACTTGTGCTTTGTGTCTCTATGTCTCTCAAAAAATAAATGTAGATTCGGTCTAATTTTTTTTTCAGCTTTATTGAAGTATAATTGACAAAAATTGTACACATTTAAGGTGTACAACGTGATGTTTTGATATATACATACACTGTGAAATAATTACCACAACCAAAGTAATGAACACATCTATAACCTCACATAGTTACAATTTTTTTATGAGAATAGTTAAGATCTACTTGAGGGCATATTTTAAGCTAACAATACAGTATTATTAATGACAGTCCCCATGCTGTATGTTAGATGTCTATGGCTCACTCACCCTGCGTAACTGAAACTTTGCACCCTTTGACCAACATCTCCCCATATTCCCCATCTCCCATCCCCTGGTAACCACTGTTTTTCTCTCTGCATCCATCCTTTTGACTTTTTTTAGATTCCATACGTAAGTGAGATCACGCAGTATTTGTCTATCTGTGTCTGGCTTATTTCACTTAGTGTAAGGTCTACCAGGTTCACCCACGTTGTTGCAAATGGCAGGATTTCCTTCTTTTTTAAGCAGAAGAATATTGTTGTATGTATAATACCACATTTCCTTTAACCATCCACCCACCCATCCATCCATCCATCCATCCATCCATCCATCCACCAACACCTGAATTGTTTCCAAATTTTGGCTACTGTGAATAATGCTACAGTGGACATGGGAGGGCAGGTATCTCTTGAAGATCCTGATTTCAACTCCTTTGGAACTGTACTCAGAAGTGGGATTGCTGGAACATAGGGCAGTTCTATTTTCAGTTTTTTGAGAAAATTCCATACTGGTTTTCATAATGGCTGTAACTTTTGTGTGGTTAAATATACGTAGCATAAATTTTACCATTTCAACCATTTTCCAGAGTACCATTCTGTGACACTAAATACATCCGCAATGTTGTGCAACCCTCACCACCAATCATGTCCAGGACTTTTCATCACCCCAAGTTAAAAGTGTTATCCATTGAATATCAACTCCCCATTCGTGCCTCCCCCCAGCCCCTGGCAACCACCATTGTACTTTCTGTCTCTATGAATTTGGTTATTCTAGAAATGGAGTATTATTTGTCCTTTTGTACCTTATTTTGTGCCTTACTGTCTGATAAGATCTATCACCTTCAGGGTTCATCAATGTTGTAGCGCGTGTCAGAAATTCATTCCTTTTTTAAGGCTGAATAATAAGTATAACTTATTATTTTTTTTAATTTTTTTAATGTTTTTATTTATTTTTGCGACAGAGAGAGACAGAACGTGAACAGGGGAGGGCCAGAGAGAGAGGGAGACACAGAATCGGAAGCAGGCTCCAGGCTCTGAGCTGTCAGCACAGAGCCCAATGCGGGGCTCGAACCCACAGACTGTGAGATCATGACCTGAGCCGAAGTCGGACGCTTAACCGACGAGCCACCCAGGTGCCCCAATAATAAGTATAAGTTTTTAAATAAACATTTCCTGACACTGGCATTGTGGTGATCAATGAAACATAATTTCTGGTATCAGTCAACGATCTCACAGACTGGTAGTATGACAGACAGCAATGCATTAAGGTCCTAGAAAATGCACACACAGAGCTCCATGGAAGCTTCCAGTAGAAGTTTCCAGTAACTCTTCCACAGAGTTGCATCACATTATCCATAGTCATCCATAGGAGCTCAGGTCCCTCCCTGACTGTCCAGAGTAAAATCCCAACTCCACTGCCTTTTAGCTATGAGCTACAGGGCAAGTCACTTCTCTCTGGGGCTCAATTTTTCCATCTGTAAAATCTGGATAATATCCACCTCTGAGTTCTGATCAGGCCTAAATGAGTCAGTCCATGTAAAGCACTTAGAGCAGTGCCTGGCACATTATAAGTGGTCAAAAATGATATAAATCAATCAACCGATAATACAAAGTAATTTCTGTCTGGGGCAATCTGTAGAGAATATAGCACTTAGGTAGGTTTTTCAAAGGCAAGATTTCCTTAAGGTAGGGTAGCCAGATCAAATACAGGCCATCTAGTTCAATTTGAATTTCAAATAAACAACTAACTGTTTCTTAGGAGAAGTCGCAACTACTGGATACTCCTCATCAAATGCTGACAAAAGGCAAGTTTCTGGGATCCCATGTATTTGATACCTTAGAACACTTTAGTCACACGGATGAGTGTAAGTGAGATCGGATGCTTGCTCCTAACTGAGCTGGACAAAGTGGCAAAAGAAAAGAAGACCTCTAGACTTCAGAGTCAGCTCAAACTCTGCATAAATGACTTGAGAGAAACTCTTACCTCCTGCATCTCTTGTAGGGCTGAGATTGCTGAAATCATCTCGAGAGTCAATGAATTCTAATACAAATTGAATTCATAACCTCACAGGGCGTCTGCTGCTCAAGTGAGGGCACTGATTAGGCAGGACTGGAATCCTGAGAATTGCAAGGGGGCACATGAGCAGATCCCAGTGAATCTTGGGACTGGGGCCCCTAAATTGAGCAGAGTCTTTGCCAGACAAGCAGTCCATTCTCCCGTTCCCGTCCACCTCTACTAGGCTGAGGAGGTCAACCCTGCTTTGCTTAAAGAACCTGTGACAGTCTCCCTCAAGGTAGCTGTTTTACAATATACTTCTGATTCTCTTCGAGACCTGACCTCACCATCCCTGTTGGCTTCTAGATCTATGACCACTCAGGTCAGAGCAGGTCCCAAACGGGGAGAGTTATAAACTGTGACCCATGGGGTGGGGATGAGGGAGCCCTACACTCCAAGAGAACTACAGGACTTTTAAAAATTTATACATAGAAACCTGGCAGATTTCATGGGAACAGATATTAAGGGTGTGGGATAATAGTGGAAGGAGTATAAATTCCCCAAATTTTCTTTTCTTTTCCCCAAATGTATTGATTTGAGCCCACTGAGTAGAGATTCTGCAGCTTAGAGGGTTAGAAAGAGCTCTAGGTGCACCTAGGTGGCTCAGTTGGTTGAGCATCCAACTCTTGGTTTTCCATTCAGGTCACAATCTCAGCGTTCATGGGTTCGAGACCTGCATTGCACTCTGAGCTGGCAGCGCAGAGCCTGCCTGGGATTCTCACTCTCTCCCTCTCTCTCTGTCCCTCCTTTGCTCTCTCTCTCTCTCTCTCAAAATAAATAAGCACTTAAAAAAATAAATACAAGTCTTCGAAAGAAAGAGAAAGAAAGAGAGAGAGGAAGGAAGGAAGGAAGGAAGGAAGAGAAAGAGCGAGCTCTAATGGTTTGCTTGGTCGGCTGGCTGGAGCAGGAGGTGGCCCACGGCAGACAAACCTGGGATGCGAGCGCACTGATGGTGTGCTGCAGAGGAAGGCAGAGGGAGGCCCAGGGCTTAGGGAGACTGGAATGCCAGAGTGGATTTATCGTGGAAGACTTGCTCATCTGCCTCAGGAGGGTCACCACAACTGTGAGAAATAAATCAGTGAGGGGAGCCCCAGCATCCTTACAGAGATTTGTGGTCGTCCTTCTCTGTACGTCAGAAATTACGGTGAGAAATGCAGCTAAGTGGGGGATTTCTAAGTGCAGCGGGGACAACGGGATCCTGGGGTGTCGGGGCCCAGTGGCGGCTCTTCATCAGCAAAGGCAAGGTGGGTGTGGTTACAGTAAGGGACAGTGGAGTCAAAACGGTCCTCAGAACAGTCAGACACACAGACTTACAGGGCTGGCCAGCTGATCACAGTGCCGCTGGAAAATAAATACAGGCACAGTCTAC